CATTTTACAGGTAATGGGGACTCCCCTCCACGACCACCAATGTGCAGCATCCACCTGGAAGATGCGACGGCAGCCATAGTGCGCCAGAACACTCACCACACATCAGCTACAGTGGTGCTAGACATTTAATGTTGGATCATTTTGATCAATAAATGTATGAAAAAGTATATCCTTTTGTGTGTTATTTGTTTTATTGGGTTCTCTAGTTTTTACTTAGATGAAGATCTGATCAAATTTTAGGTAAAATTTATGCAGAAATTCAAAACATTCCAAGCACCACAGTATAGATGGGGATTATTAGGAGACCATGATTGGTAAGGGCTAATGGGAAATTTGGCCAGGACACCAGGGTTACACCCCTACTCTTTTCGAGAAATGCCCTGGGATTTTTAATGACCACAGAGAGTCAGGGCCTCAGTTTTAAGTCTCATCCAAAGGATCATCCAAAGGACAGCCCCTTTTTACAGTATAGTGCCCCTGTCACTAAACTGGGGCATTAGGTCCCACATAGGCCTCAGGGTAAGCATCCCCTGCTGGCCCCACTAACACCTCTTCCAGCAGCAAACTTAGGTTTTCCTAGGAGGTCTCCCAGCCAGGTACTCACACCTGCTGAGCTTCAGTGGGTTACCAGTTGTGGGTTGCAGGGTGATATGGGTGCTGGCTAAAATAATAAATAATAATAATTTATCTACTGTATGTACTGAACATGAGGTGGCATAGCGATGCAGTAGTTAGCATTGCTGCCTCACAGCACTAGACCCCTGGGTTCAATTCTGGATTTGGGATGATGTCTGCATGGAGTTTGTATGTTCACACCAAGTGCACTTGGGTTTCCTGTGGGTGCTCCGGTGTTTTTCCCACAGCCCAAAAACATACTGCACTGGTGGGTTAAGTGGCTTCTGCGAAAAGTGGCCCTGGAGTGAGTGTGTCTGTATGTGCTGTATCCTGCCTTGCACCCATTGTTATCCCAGGACTGCATTGGATGAAGGTCGGAAAATGGATGGATGGATGTACTGAACATTAGGACTGAATCACAGCAGGACTTCAGAGTTGTAGATGTAAAACGTTTTTCACCACTTTAGATTTATCCCTTTTTTTTAACAGTTATGAAATGCGTGACCATACGTTAGACTGTTCGTGTAATAATAGCACTGATTTACGTCACGTTTTTGGAGGCAACAACAAATATCAATAGATGATACTGGATTGGTTCAGCCCTCTTTCCGCTATATAGAACCCGCAGGAGAAGGGGAAATTGCATATTGGTTAAGGAATCAATTAACTGAAAATAATCTTTGCTTTTTAAAAAAGTTCTGCGAGTCATGACCGGACTTGGAAACCTAATGTTTAATTAATAACTGGTAAGGCGTTCAAGAGACCCCTTCCCACACACGTTATTATTATTATTTCTTTACCAGTTGCAGTTACATTTACAGTACGATGACGTATGAAATGTTTTTATTTAGGTATACAGTATTGGGTGTATGTAGAATACCATGCAATAGATACCAGCTTTCTTCATTGAATTACGCCGTCACAAAATATCTAAATTAAAGCATAATAGGTTTATTTTCCAATATGTATATAGAGAGACTCACATCTATGAATTCATGTCTTGATTATCAATAATACGGAAAGGAAGACCCCTAGTGGATGAATGTATATTTCCTGAGACAGTTACAAAAAACGAAAATACAGAAACATTGGAAATACGTTTGCAATTGCAAATGCTTGAATCTTGCAAATGCGTGACTTCCGTCACCCGCCCCCTGACCTCAGATGTGTTAAAATTACCTGATACCAATTCAATGTTAGAAAAAGTAACTGCTCTTAGGCGTTGCTGATTTGAATATTAGCATTCCTAAAACACGACAGTGCTTGATTGCCACACCTTAACATAAAACCTCTTTGTAATTTATAAAAGAATCCAACACTATTATAGTTGGATTATCTGGAAATACGCCGAAAAGACACCATTGAAAAAAAAATATTTGACATCTAAAAAAAATATACATTTTATTAAAGACACGTGAATTTTAATTGCGGATACAATAACTTCTTCAACCCCCTTCGTTTTTACACGTACATCGTAATGCGGAACCATTTTTCACGAACTAAATACTTCCAGGGACCTTTTTAAAACAGACCTCTCAAACTGACACAATGAGAATGCAACCAACCTTGAGTGTGCTGTATTAGCATATTCATTTTGTGGCCGTATACGTTTTTTTTTACACACATCGGAACTACAGCACAGTTTTGTGTCCTTACGTTACTGAAGTGGGCGTAGCTTTAAGTTAGGCTGTGGCGGGTTTCATGCTGTAGTTTTCACGTTTTTGGATTTGTTTTGCGATCGGTCACTTACAGTAAAAGGATGAAAAGAAAATCAACACAAAAATCAAGTCATGTAGTTGCTTGGCTTAACAAAGCAGAATGGGATCAGGTTCTCGAATATCTGTACTCCAAAGACTGTGCATTACAGAAATACGCTTTACAAAGACTCTCTGCTTGGAAAGCCAGGTAAGAAGACGAACTGAGATGTAGCATTTTGATCTTCGTTTCAAATAAGCATTAGTTTCCTGTGGCAGACTTGAATTGTTAAAAGAAACGTTGCTATAAATTTGATACACTTTTAAGGACGGTCTTTGTAATCTAACAATTTACAACGTCAGATAATACATTGTTATGTTATTGTTATTATAACGATTGCCTTTATGTGTTTAGGAATTTGTGATAATTATTCCTTTTCATTATTTGAATGAATATACATTTATAATGCATATTGTGAAAATCAGGATTAACATTCTATTCTTTAAAAGCTCAACCAAAATGTATAATAATAATAATAATAATAATCCACAGGATCAAAGTATTTCCAAGACTGCTGCATGTCTGTCTTTCTTATAGCATACATATACACGGTTCTGTGTGATTGGTGTTCTAGGTTTGTTAATAGCACACCTGTGGCTGTGGAGAGCACAGCAGAATTGGTCCGATGTCAAGTATTGGATGCCTCTGGAAAACTGGATACAGATGAACTAATCTTGCTGTATGGAATGGCTCTTGTAAGGTGAGAGTTTGCTCTGTTCAAAGTGGATTTAAGTGCATTAAGGTGGAGGATAGGAATCGCTTTACACAAAATGATTTTGGAGTAGTACACGACCTATCCAGCTTCTGTACTGTATGTTGCTGTGGTGTTCTCCAATCCAGGCCCTGCAGTACGCCTATAAGTTTTTTGTTCCAGCTGGGCTTTTCTTTACTAGGGGTTATTGGTGCCTGTAACTGCTCTTCTTGCTGATTTCGATGTTTTATCCATACTCAGTCCTTTGTTTCTGAAATACCCTGAAGTGCATTATTTCCAACAAGTCCAGCACACAGAGCCTTATGCATTGCCATCTGAACTTGCCAATTAAAGTACTGGATCTCTTATGTTTTATTTAACAGCTCTTAATAAGTGATAAGAGGTGATGAAATGATTAGGCCAAGACCAGGAGTAAGAGGTGCTGCTGTAATCAATTGAAGTCCAGCAATCCAACAAACTAGAAGGGCTGAATCAGCCTTCCCTGTGTCTTAGCTTTCCTACTATATGTTCTTAATGACTAAAGAGTTTAGTTAATTAGTTTGCCTTCAAGAATTCATTTGAGAAACTTTCACTAAGTGTTAATGCTTAGATTAGGGTTGCCCAAATGTGGCCCATAAAGTCCCCTGTCCTGTAACTTTGATAGGTCTTTTTAAATCTTCATTCTGTCCAATTAAATTATTTCATCTAGATAATTAAGGGCTCAGGTGGAAATAACCTTCTGATCCTCCACGAATAGAGTTGTGCCTCCCTGTCTTGGAGACCCAGAAATTCTAAAACCACTGCCCTGTAGGTTTTTATTCCAGCACAGTCCTGAATGATCTAAATGAACTAATTATTGGGAGCAGTTCAATATTTTCCCAGCATTTCAGGTTCTTGTGATGTAAAGAGAGTAGTAAGACCAGAAATGTGGCACTTGAGGACTAAAATTAGGAACCCCTACTTACAGTACTACCTTGAAGATAGTAAATCCTTTGTGATAATATTTGGGCCAGTCTGTGAAAAACGCTATATGCAGTATGGTGTGTCTGTAACAGAGATTTTGGAGTGAAAAGTTATTTTGGTATTTGCCATCCGTGTTAATGTTGAGGAGCAGTACAAAGGTCAAAATGATGTTATTTTATATAGTTAAAAGTGTAGAATACCCAGTAAATCAAGGGAAGTGTTGCTAAAAGTGTGGCATTGATTTACTATGACTTCAGAAACTGCTCTCAATATTCTAAATAATGCCACCCAAAACAACGTTGCTATTATTTGCCATGTAATACTAACTTACACTTTACAGTTTAGAGGAACATAATCTCTTTAGTCTTCAAAAGAGGAGAGTATACTTAAGTTAAATGCAAATATTATGAAAAGAACTATTTCAAGTTCTTTTTTTTATAAAACCATATTTTAAGTAGTAGAAACAAGACCAATGAAAAAAAACATAATTGACTCAGTCAATTATATCTCATGTTTGTCTTCAGTCATTGTTTTTGTGTAGTATTGTCATTATCACTAATTTGTGTAGCGTACTTGTCAATAGCCCAATTAGTCTGAAATCATGCAATTTTTTTGTGCTTCAGGTTTGTGAATTTAATCACAGAACGTAGGCAGAAGATAGTGTCCATTCCCCTGAGGCGACTGGCCAGTCAGGTTAGTAGGACTACTGGGCATAGTCTAAATGTCTGTTTCTTACACTTTGCTCAAAGTACTTGCAGACCTCCATTTGTCAGGCACTCAAATGTCAGGTGAGAGAGAATACAACCTGTGTGAAAAGTGAGAGCTATGGTAAAAATATAATAGAAAAATATAATTGGAGACTTTTTTATTGTTTTATTACATATGTTTGCAGTACTAGCACTGACCTTTTTTCACAAACCTATTAAAATAAAACAATTCCATGTGAAGGCTGTCTCCCTGGTACACTCTCCCAAGTAGAGTTGGATATGTAAAACTGACATGCCCAGGGAGCCCATTTATCATTTGGAAAATAAATTAACACAAACGAAAGTATCTCTGCGTTTAAAAACTAATAGCATGAAATAAACCTTTAAAATGATATCCTCTTAATGGACTGCATCAGGTCTGTGTACAAAAAAATCTGTAATAATATACAGAATGTATATATACATGCTATAATAAATGTCCCTGAAGTTTCCTGTTGTGTGCTCTAAAAATGATTAATAATTTCTGCTTGGATTACCAGTTAAGGAATTTAAAATGTGGTTTAACTAGATAAAATAAACTTGTTTTGTACATTTTAGATGAACATCCCAGAATGGGTAGTGAATCTTCGACATGAGATAACTCATGGCAAGCTCCCTACTTTGTACTGGTGCCGAAAAGGTGAGTGAACTAGTGCTTAAATATTTGTCCCTAGAAATAGTGCAATTCTGTGAAAGAGTTGCTTGTTTCTGTAGGATATTGCTGTTAAATCCAGACAATGCACAAGATGTTAAACCTTCATGAACCTACTGCCTTATTGGACCACAAATTAGAGCCATGAGATCATTATACAGCACATAAACCCTCTGCCCTCTGGATATAGGTTTAGAGTCCTAATTACTATCCGATGCTTCCTTCTTAAACCTCAAAATTAGTGTACAAATATCCACACTTATTTAAAGTTTAGGTTTTGTGTCTAGCAGTAAGACTATGTGATTCTGTTTGTGTTGTTGCTGACCCAGCTGTTTCTGGCGGACAAGCACAAGTAAGGCAGGAGAATTCAGTGAAGGCTGGTGCTCTCCTTTTTCTTGAGTTAACAGATAATTTGACAAATGTCTTTTTAAATTCTCCCCATTTACAGCTTTCAGCTTTACACACCTCTCCTTCAATTCCCCCTTCTTGTGGATGGGCTGGGTTTTCTTGTTCAAGTTTGTGAGAGTGAGTGTAGGATCCTCACTTTGAGCAAATTGAACTCTATGGCCTAGACATTACTTGTTTGAAACTTGATTATGTCCCTTGCCAACTGTAGCCAGGATCCCCCACATAGGTGGTGTATAATTCGCCAAGTTCAGCCTGGAAAGGGTAGAGATTAGTCTGGGAGGATGCTTTCAGTGCAACAGGAAAACCTACAAATTGTGAGGAATCTTCAGGTATTCATTGATATCAGTGAGAGATTTACCATTCTTCCAGTTGGAGTTGACCCTGCTGTTGATTTTACAGTATGTCAAAGATTAACAACTCTACAGACAACATTGAGATTGTCTTATTCTTTCCTGAATGTAAGAGCCAGAGAGCTAAGTAATTTGCAATATTAATTTTAAAAGAAAGTGTAGATGCTTCAAAAGCAATAGATACTCTTGGTGAGTTTTATGTACAGTCATGTAAAATGAAAGTACACCCTCTTTTAATTAAATGGTTTTACTTATCAGGGTATGAATAACAATCGTCTGGTCCTTACCAAATTCTATAATTAGACAAATCTAGCCTCAGATAACAGACAACACATAACAGATTTCACTATGTCATTATTTATTCAACAAAAAGTAAGGCAAAATGCAGAACCCATGTGGGAAAAATTAAGTATACCCTTACTGCTTCCATAGGAATTAAGTTATTGCTGCTAAAGGTGGTTCGACAAGCTACTGAATCATGAGGTGTATTTAGTTTTCACACATGGCTTCTAAATGTTGGCTTATTTTGACATAGTGGAATCTGTTATGTGTTTTTTGTCACCTGAGGTTAGATTTACATAATTTTAGGACTCATTTACCATAATTTTTTATGTCCTGATATTTAAAACCATAGAATTGTAAGAGGGTGTACTCTCTTTTTCACTTGACTGTATGTGTAAGAAACACAGTAGTAGTAGTACACCTTGCTTCTACCTTGTTTTTCAGGTTGTAAGTTTGTTTTGGATTGGCTACATCAGGAGTACTGGTCTCGCCAGCTGGGAAGCACGCTAGCAGAGCCCTGGGATTCTGACTCAGTAGGGGAGGAAGAAGAAGATCTGGAAGTGGAAGATGACTTCACTGACAGACATAGAAAACGAGAAATTTACCGTAAGGAGAAACTTGAGTTTCTGATTATCTTTTGGTTGTGTAGCATGCAACAACAGTCTTGAAGATAGCTTGCTTATTAATTTATAAAAATATTTCTAGTTTAAGGAAAATCTCCTATGTCCTATCTTGATGATTCCCATTTCACATAAATGTAGTTAGCTGCAGATTTGAAACTGCTGGTTGGATGTCTTGAGCGGCCCTAAAAACACATTTATTCTGGATGATCTTTTACATGACATCAGCAGTGTTGATTCATATAATCCTAATAAGTGCAATAGTTTTGATTAGAACTTACTTAGATTTTATTGGAAGAATTCTTTAGATTTCTTGTTTCTATTTCTATAAATTTCTTGTCTAGCTATTTTAGTTATTCTTATAGTTTGAGACGATGATTTATTAAGACGTCACAGAGCATTGTTAAAGCCATAACAGTCCTTTCTATTTTTCCTCTTAGGGAAAGCAAGAGACTTGTTGTTATCCTACAAAAAAGAACAATTTCAGGTAATTTATTTTTTTTAAGTGTGTTCTTATTGTAAGTAGAACAGCATATTTTGTCTGCCATTGTCTTTCCAATACAGTACATACAGTAACCTGTTTTTTATCCCTTATAATTCTGCATATAGGGACTGAATGCATTACAAAGTAATTAACCAGCAGCCATATCACCCTGCAACTCACAACTGGCAGCCCACTGAAGCTAAGCAGGTGTGAGCCTGGTCAGTACCTGGATGGGAGACCTCCTGGGAAAACCGGTTGCTGCTGAAAGAGGTGTTAGTGGGGCCAGCAGGGGGTGCTCACCCTGCGGTCTACGTGGGTTCTAATGCCCCAGTATAGCGACGGGGACACTATACTGTAAACAGGCGCCGTCCTTCGGATGAGATGTAAAACCGAGGTCCTGACTCTCTGTGGTCATTAAACATCCCAGGGCGTTTCTCGAAAAGAGTAGGGGTGTAACACCGGCGTCCTGGCCAAATTTCCCATTGGCCCTTACCAATCATGGCCTCCTAATAATGTAGCCTATGAATTGGCTACATTACTCTGCTCTCCCCACTAATAGCTTATGTGTGGCGCACTATGGGTGCCGTTGCATCATACAGGTGGATGCTGCACATTGGTGGTGGTGGAGGGGAGTCCCCATTACCTGTAAAGCGCTTTAAGTGGAGTGTCCAGAAAAGCGCTATATATGTATAAGCAATTATAATAATTATTATAATTGCTTACACGTATATAGCAGAAGACATTTTCCAAGAAAAAATGCTAGTGGTAATGAGACTCTGTTTTTAATATAGAATAAATTAATGCAGCAGAATTAATTGATGAAGTAAAAAAGAAAACCCATTTAACACTTATTAAACCCATTTTACACTCAATAATTCATTCATTGAGTAAAGGCATACAGTCTTATGCAGTTATTACACAGTAAATTTCATTTTTTTCCTGGTGAACATGCTTACCTGAATCCAACAGCAGATGGCACTAAAGCATTACATAAGAAAAGGGTCTTAGATTACAGGGGCAGTTCTTTATAAGTTTTTTTAAAGAACAGGCATAGTGTATTACTATTAAATATTGTTGTATTGCATATTATTTTTTATTTGAAGTAGATGTTTGTGAAGGCTATCTTTGTAGAGAAAGCTGTTATCCTCCGTAATAGAAGCATGGCTGTTCATTTAAATTCAGCTTTATGATGTGAGCTTTCATTCATATAGTAAAGACTAATTAATCAACTACCTTTCAAATAGTACATTCCTTAACCTCAATCAAGTGCTCTCAGTGAAAAAAAAAGATCAAACTGAAATAAGTCCAACATACATCTTGTGTTCTCTTTGCCTTTGAACAGAATATAGTTTCCGTTGTATATACTGTAAATACCTGTGACTCTGTATTGAATTAATTGGTTAGAAAATAGATTGTTAGCATTTTGCATTTGAAGTTACATTTTAAAAACTGAACATCAAATGGAATTGATCACTTTTAACCGCAACAAATTCACAAATTAATTATTAGGAAAATTATCATTTTTTTACAGCTGATTCACTAAGAATTCAATCCACATGATGATGTTGATTCATAATGCTTTATTATTCATTCATTATGCTGATGTTAGCATTTGTTAGCATTAACACAGCTAATCAACAGGAGGTCTACTGTGAATGTTAGTCAATGTAATTAGCATGTTGGTGCCACTGTCTTGTGGAATTCTGTCCCATACATCTTGTATGTGCCTTGCTACTGGTCTGTCAGGCTTGGATGTGACACAGTTGTTCTATGATGCTCAGATATGGTGATTAGTTCATTCTCATCTCTCAAGAAGGCACTTGTTACACAAATAGCATGAGGGTGTTATCCTGCTGGCAATCTGTCATGGCAAGCCTGCAAAAAGGACAATATTTAAGGTTCCAGGACATTGCTCAATGTACTGTAGTGCCACACAGTCAGGTTGCAATCAATCAGTACTTGCAAGTCAGTGTTTCTGGTGGAGTGAACTAGGAGTTTAAAAATTTACAAGATGATGTGTCGTATCTGGCCACCTGTCATGAGTCATGGTGTTCCAGATTGTGGTCTGTCATTGATGGACTGTGTTTGACTGTAACATTTTACTAGGTTATAAATTGCTGACTGTGAACACCCCAGACGGCAAGTGAGAGTGCACTGACGTCCTTAGATCTCCAACATACTTGGGTGGCATGAAAGTGGTGTTCTCTTAAAAATGGAGCATCCAGTTCCATTCTGTCTTTTTCTTTCTTGATTTTCACCAGGCTTGATTAGCACAAGTGTTACAAAATAGGTGGAGGAAGGAAAATAGAGTGATTAAATAAAATGTTTTAATGTCTAAATTGAACCCAAGCAATATGTAAAAATGTCCAGTACATGAGTGCTTTATGTTCTCTAGCACAGAGTGTAAAATCAGAGTCAGACATGTCAAACAAATGTTTATTAATAATGAACAATAACAAAATTTAACAATGCACAACACTTACATATATATATGTTTCAGAAGCTTACATCTTACAGCCATAGAAAACCAGGATTCCAATTTAAAGAGCTATGTAGCACCTTCACAGGCCAACTAGAGAAAAACTCTGCATCCTAAATAAAAGAATATAACCCAAGACTAAATCTGTCTTCCTACTACATGGATGCCTGTTTCCCTGTTTTAAAAACACATCACCAAAACAGGAAAGAAAGTTTTTAATCAAAGGATTCCTCAAAAAAACGAAATCAGTTTTCTGAAATAAATAGGATAGCAAACTGTATTACAAGGTTTAAATTACTTCGCTCATACCTGGTCTACAATACTGATCAGAACAAGGTCTGCTTACATGGCTCAGACTTAGAAGAAGCGAAGTTGAAGTTGATGTTCTCTGTTTCCTTCCTTCTGGTTCCTTCTCCCTCTCTCTTCTTTGTCTTATGCTATGTTCGGTAGCTCTTGAGGGCAAACATTTGAATTAAAAACCCATTGTTTTTAGGTTTTCTGAACTGTGAATTGGCAGACACTATGTATTTTATGACCCCCTTAGCTGTAACTGTAGCTGTAGCTGTATAGGTTAAATCACCTTGTCACCTGTGAACTATCATTTCTTTCACATAATGCTTTGAAACAGAGCTAGAGTGTTTAATGGTCAGAAATTATTAATCATAATGTTACCAAAAACAGTAATATTTAAAATCCAAGTATGTTTTCTATACATACATTTCTTTTGATGCTCAGTGAAAATGTGTATATTCTATTTAAGGGTTAATGTTCTCTTAATGAGAAGTACCATTAGATGTTCTTACGTAGCAGTTTAATAGTACTTTACTTCTGAAGGTGCACACAATGACGTCCGGGCTGTAAACAGTAATACTTATTTTTAGCTTCTAGCTTGCATTAGATCCAAAGTTATTATTAGCAAGCCAGAAAAACATATTTTTTCCTTAACATCTTATTGTGCATGTTTCTAAAACGCTTGTTTTCAAAGTTCCTACAGCCTAAACCTTTTATAGGTTTCTAAATTAAACAAAATGAGTGTGGTCGCAATCACAGAAATGAGGTCCACCAAATCACATTTTTTCCAGTTTAATGTTTATTACAGCACTGAAACCACAGCAAGGGCAGCAAAATATATCATAGTAATACACGTTTTACTGCAGTGTTTTAAAAAACATTATGACAGTGTCGGACCACACACTTTAATAAGTAGGTCAAAGCCATAAATGGGTGACATTGTGTACTGTGAAAGCTCTTTGTAAGCAGTGCCTCATGTTACTAGGGCTGGAGGCCACTTCTCCTTAAACCAAGTGTTAACTTTACCTTAATTGGAAATATGGAAATCATCATTCTGTGGACTTCTTATGTGGTCAGTTGCTTGTTGCATTCAAGCCAAAAATTGGACCTTTTTCTTCTACCTTTGCATTCAGCTTACAGGGCTGATACAAGAGCAGGGGTAACTGCGTGCATGGCAGATGGTTCATTGTCTTGTCTTCCTGGTCATTCTCTGACACTAGTTTACTCTGCTTGCTGTCTACAAATGCCGTCACACTTTGGTGTCCTAAATTGATTCACGCAACAGGTGCTCACTTTGGAGCAGATGTACTTCAGTATAAGTGGCAGCCTTTATTATTGTAGAGTCTAATGAGTAATATAAGCAAGGCAATTTCATCAATTAATCCAAACATTAATCCATTCGTTTATACATAAAAACTAGTCGAGTATAAGGGTCTGATCTGTGGCCAGTGCAGACAAGCCAGTTGTAAATCAATGTGTTTGGCATCAATTTCGATGCTGGCTGCTGTATTTTTACTAACTGGAGCCTGCTGACGCATTGTGTAGGGAGTCCAGAAAATGGATCCTCAGCTAATTGCACATGCCAGTACTCTTAATACCACTAAGGACTTTATTTAGCAGTTTACAGCCAAATTAGAAGCTTCCTGTTACTAGTAAGACCAAGTCATTGACTTTCACATTACAGCGTAATTAGAGTGAAGATCAAAGGCGTTTTTAAAATAATTTAATTGAAGGCATCTACTTTGTTGCAATATTCTCAAAGAAGTGTTTTCTTGGTCCGACGGATTATTTATAACTCAGGCTCGTCTGGTTATCGCAGCCAACCACATGACGCCACAGAGGTGTGTGGGAGGGGGAGTGGGAGAGATCCGAAATGTGTGAGAAATGTCTCTTTGAAGGCAGTAGACCATGTTTTAGCAGTGATGCTAGCCAGAACTAGGGATGAAATATTCAGCAGCAATCTAGTGTAGTAGTCTAGTTAAATTTGACCATTTCTTGAACGGGTAGATGAATCATTTTATTCTTACGGCACTTGTTTTGTAAGTGTTAGAACTGAATTAAACATATTTATTTGTGAAGTATGCTTGTTTTTGACATCATCTGTGTAGTTCCTGTGAAAACCTCCACAACATATTTTTTTCTCTTTTGGTATCTGTGCCTTTTCTGTTTATGGTTTTTCACCTCGGAGTGTTTGGATTTCAGTTATCTTGCTGTACAGCTAAAATCATGATGTTTTATGTCTTCTCATAATAGTGAATTGTCACCTAAATGATCTGTAAACACTAATTGGACTTTCTATAATGTACAATGAGTTTGCCTACTGCCAGTAAGTATATAGTTGAATGTGTAAGTTTTATTTGTAAAGCTGCTTACTGACTATTTTATGATGCCTGAATCCAATAATGACCCAATACCAAATGTTTCAGTGACAGGTTGGCATCTTGATGATGTCAGTCTTTTTTTTCTTCATCCAGGTTCTTGATGAACTTCATAAAGAGGACAAAGTAAAGAAACTATGGCCCAGTCCTTCTTCTGACTTGGAGTGGATAGTGATGCAAATCAAAGACTTTGAAACAGAGTCTAGGTTAGCCATTATTGCAATTTATTCAGACCAAAATGTATATTCTAGTTTTCGAATTAAGATGCCGTCATCTGTGTCCTGCCTTGCTGCATGTTTACCTTCCACCTATAAAGAGATAGATTGTAGTCATGACACTAATTTTGTAGTTGTAGTAAGTGTGCAAATGTGTTCATACAATACAGTGGAAAAACAAAGACCTAATATTTAAGGTAAGGTTGCAAATGACCAAGACATTTCCTTATTATGTCCTGTACTGCGGCATGGTGGCACAGTGTTTAGCATTTCTGCCTCATTGAGTTCACTTCTGGATCTGGGGTGCTTTCTATGTGAAGTTTGTGTGTTCTCCCTGTGTTT